ACCAACATAAAATGAAGATATCAGACCAATTTAAAAGACTGTTGTTTAAACTGCTTTTTAAATTGTATTAATAATTTATATAATATTATTTATATTAATATTTATATTAAATCCAATTGCAAAACAAAACAAATTGTTTTCTATGTGGATACATTAGCTGACTTTGTGGGTATCTGTATGTGTTGGCTTTGTCTCACTTCGACCACGTCGTAATTGAAAAATAAAAGAAAATACGCGAAAATCCCAAACGCATTTACCAGACCCCCTCTTCGATTTTTCTTCTTTTTTTTTTTTATTTTACCTGGGAGCGAAGCGTGCGAACAATTTGCTGTCCATTCGATCCGCCTTTTCCTTGAGGCTTTCCAAAGGGGTTAAGGGGGGCCCTGAGGGGTTAAGCGGGAAAAACTTGGGTCTGGGATTTCGCATTTGCATTCGTAATTTGTATGCGTGCAACGGCTGCGGGCACGAAATGAAAAACGTTGCGAGCTTTTGGCGCCTTTCGACTTGGACATGGACATGGACATGGACACATCGCCACCTGAGTCTGGCCAAAAAACACCCTACCCCTTCCCCTCCCCCACCAACTCATTCCACACATCTCACCCCTCTGCCTGATAAAATTTCCTTATTAAATAACGGCCACAATCGATCGGTGGCCAAAATGTGAATTTTCCCATGGCCAACTGAGACTGGCTGGAAAACTTATACGAAATTATAGAACTAAAGATTAGATAACTATTTAACAGACAATTTGGAAAAGTCCTTACAGATGTATGTAAATTACACAAGTCTCAGTTTTAATAAAACAAAAAGATGAGCTCTATTTCTTTTACTTAAATGAACAGTATTTGGTTTCAAAATTTATCAATACAATCATTTCACTTTTGCCATAATAAATGTACTTATTAATGCTTCATTTTTTTAAGAACTTAGGGAAGAGCGATTTATTCGTTAGGTATGTTTAATGCAGATCGATAAGATGGATTGCAGGATTCTATAATTTGTATAATAATTGAATGTTTCACAGTTTCTCCTTGCCATTAACATTTGATATTAACTTTAAAACTATTAACTTACCTTAAACTCCTTCAAAGGATCAACTTCCTTATCTATGTATTCAGTATTTTATTATGTCATTCATTGATTGATCACTTTTCAAATGGCCAGGCTTTAAAGAGTCGGCTTAAACCCCCGGTAGACAGACAACTCCATCAAGAGATTTGGGGGGGATATTTGCATGGGAAATCTACAGCAGAAAAGCGAGGAAAATCCAGCAAAAAAAAGGGAGGGGCTGGCTGGCAATCAAGCTAGTCAGGGGCATCAAAAGCCCGCATCGATCACGAAACCACTTTTTGGTCCAGTGCCAATGGCAACTTTAGGAGTCACTCGTCACCAAGTGAATTTGCGGCGCCTCTTTTTCCACCGATTTTCCCGTCGCCCCTTCTTTACCTCACCCCCCCTCCCCCCTTGGATTTTCCACCCGCCCATATGGACGTCTAGGTAACAGTAATTTGGTGTCTTACTTGTTCTTGCGCGCCGGCAATCACACCTATGGGAATGTTTCTTACACATGTCCAATGTCCGCACGATGATCATTAGCAAGTCGCAATGATCATGATCGCGGCGGGATTCCAGCATGCACTTTGGACAACATATTAGAGATCCCCAAGTCCTCTGGCCCGTCGCATCATTAAAAATTTATCAGTTGATTGGAAAATTATAATTCTTTGCCTTTACGCTTTAGCAGCGCTATGATTTTTACAAGTCCACCTCGCCATCGCGCCATCTCTCTCGCTTTCTGTGCACATTCCCATTCGCAATTGTGCCCGCTGTTATGTAATAACTCCCCGCCACTCCCCTTTGGCTCCGTCTGGTGTTGTTCCTATTTCTTATGGTCACATTTAATAACTGACTGACTGACTGACTGACTGAATGACTGTCTGAATGACTGACTGAATGACTGTCTGAATGGGTGACTGACTGACTCACGGCGCTGCTCTGATAGATGCACTGCACCGATCCAATCCGATCCGATCCAGGACCGTTCCCCACTCCCCCAACCAAGTGCTCATCGGAAAATCGCTTTCTTTGCTTCGCTTTTGATCGGCAGGTTACTCCTAAATGGCATCTTAAGAGGTATATTAGACTTCATTGGAAGTGAAGTCACAGAAAACTTTTTAACTAAACTTTAAACGTAGTAGGATATGAAAAGAAAGATAGATATTATACACCTCAATCGTATGAAAGATGATTGATTAAAACTTAAGAATTAATAATAGTATCACGGTCTAGAGTAAAGAAACTAATTTTCCTTACTAGTATAAAATCCTTTACCAAAACTCCATTTTTGTTCACAAAACGTATATAAGGGATTTTGAAATATTTTAAAATATTTCTACTATATATTATCATTAATTTTTTTTTATATTTAATAAAAGATGCTTGATAATCTGTTGTTTTTCATCCCAAGAAAACTCAAGTTTTCCTCAACTTTCAGGATACGTCCATGTCGATCAACGCAGGTTGTGGCATTATTTTTTATGCGCTTGCTTCTCCACTTAGTTCCAGATGCGGAAATAAATGCACTTGAATTCCTCGACTTGTTACATAAATCGTAATTTTCTATAGACTTGTTCTATATCTAATGTATATTGCATTATTCGCTACTCGTTTTCTTTCAGTTGTTTCTGTTTCTGTTTCTGTGTCGGTTTTTTATTATTATTATTTTATGATCGCTTATCTTCTTCACAGACTTCTGCTTTTGCTGCTGATTGTTGCTACCGACGCTAAAGCCACGAAGATTTGACCGGGCCAACCTGAGTCAAGTCAACTTGGCTCAACTCCAGTCGGGGAATATATGAATGTCCAAATGTCTGAGGGTCTGACTGTCTGGGATCGTATTCTTCTCACTCTCGCGCACTTGAACTTCCTGCATGACCAAGGCCTCCGGGAGATCAGCAGATCATGTGAACTTTTATGGCCATCATCGGTCATCACTCGGCTTGGATGTAATTAGGCATCTTAGCGGTACAGTTCTCGGTTCTCCCAGACTCTTCTTAATTCCGCCTCATACTTCGCCTTCTCACCCATGAAATGCAAAATAAAATAAAACACATTATTATTTAAGTACTGGGAATTATTGTGCTGGCTTCCATCTTTAAATCAAAACAGAAATACTACAAAGAAACCACAAATAATATTGTCCCAGTGCATCCAATAAATCACTATTCAATAAATAAAATAAAACTTTGAAATGTTTTCAACTATGAAAAATTTATAAAAATATAGAAATATCAATTACCATATTTTTTTAATTTAATAATCTTGAGACTTTGGCTTAATTTTTAATTCCGAATTAATGCTTTTGGTGTTATTTCAATTTTTTTTCCATTTTTTTTGTGTTTCACCAAAGCCGCCAGGCTTTACTCAATATTTGTTTGACCTGACCCCATTCTTGGGTTTTCGTATCCTATCGCTGCTCACATGCCTAAACGTTTTCTTAGAGACCTGCGAAATTCCACATGTGACAATTCAGCATTCAACGGATGCCTCAATGGCGAGTTGGCTCCAAATGGAATAGCAAAGTTGGCTAAAAGCCTGTCAATCGCTTATGTTACGTGAAAAACACTGAACATAACTACCGTTCACTTCGTGCATAAATTAATAACAAATATAAAAGTATTTATATGAAGTATGAATATAAACCATTTAGTTGCCAAGTAGAAAAGTCGCAAAACAGCTCACTCTTAAGTTTTTTATTTAATATGTTTACAAATTCCTAAATATTCAATGTGACACTTAAAAGTTATATTTTTACCCAATATGAAGTATTACTTTCATATTTTTTACAGAAAGTGTGATTGATACTTAGCAGTTTCTAAACATATCAATTGTTAAACAATATCAATGTACTTTAACCTTCATCAAAATCAAATAAAGCTATCTATTTATATTTAAATAAATATTTATATTGAGCTATTTTTTGTCCAGCCTAGTAAATTAGTACAATTTTTTTGTCTGTTTAGGATGGGTTTGGGATGATGTCCTAAGTAGAGGCCCGAATCTCTGGCAAGCAATTAGCAAGGCAAAGCCCAGAAGAAAGATCACCGCAAGACCGCAGTTGGGAGCACCAATTGCAATTCGAAAAAAGTCAGAAAGGGGTGGAAAGGGGTGGAAAGAGGAGAAAGAGGAGAAAGGGGTAGAGATGCAGGGGAGAGGGGCGAAGTGAGGTGACCGAGCGGAAGACGGACAGAAGCGGGATTTATCAGAGACAGAAGACTCAGCTTGGGAGATGGAGATGGAGATGAAGAAAAGCAATTCTGCGGCCGACGGTTTTCGCAGAAAATTACAACTTGCGGGTAAACAAAGTCAACTGCCGGCAATGCTGGAGGGGCTACAATGGGGTGGGGGGGTGATAGTAGGGTGGTGTCTGTGCTAGGAGAATTGCCGATGAAGCCACACGTCAAAAGACAGCCCACAAGCCCCTTCTCCACCGCCCTCTTTTATTCCCTCGGTCTTATTTTTACTGGCTTTCTGCTGCCGGACTTCATGCGGAGTGGATGTTTCTGGGGCTCTGGATGTGGGTGCACAATTATGCCGCCAGAGCAACTGGGCAACCATAAATTTTCTTATCAGCGCAATGCTAAAAAAAGCAGGAGCGGATCGTAGTAATCCCAAAAATACTACTTCCATGCAACAGGAGTAAACATTTGATAGGTTTGTTACTATTATGTATGTACCTATAAACCTATGCCTGTTTTTTTTTTGGTCCACCAAATTTCCATTCGTTTTTCCAGTTAAAAATCTAGGTTTCGCTTACTATAAAAACGGAAAAAAACGGACATAGATGTTAAGAAGTATACCCCAATATTTGTAATAAGTGTAACAAAGCAAAAACAATTGTTTTTTATCAAGTAAGCTGGGTTAATTCTGGTTAGTTTTAGAATAGCAACATTTAACAAGAATATTTACACTAAAAGTAGGCGTTGCTAGAAGCCGCACACAATTGTTTTATACCTTGCAAACCCACATACACATTTTCTACCTGATAAACTCGGTTTTAAATCCGTACTTTGTAAAAGAGATTACCAGATGGAGAAGATGACAGTGGTGGATCCCAATGGCGGGGATTCCATGGAATATATGCTCGACGAGGAGTTGGATCTGCTGGGCGAACTGGGCGATTGCCACAAGACCAATCTGGCGGACATCGATGTGATAGCTCGAACCACCGCCAAGTGTCATTTGTTCAGCGGGCGGATGATTTCGATGGTCAGTCAAGGGCCGATGAAGGGGGCGTCACGTACGGAGGCTGAGGACACGGACTCCCAGGAGGAGGAATCGGATCTGCTGCACCTTGGCTTGGACGAGGAGGACATGTCCACCTCGGATGAGGAGTCGAAAACGCTGCATGCCATCCAGTCCCTGGATCGGATACTCCAGCGCATTGACATACTGCAGAGTCACATTCGCCGACGTCAGGAACTGGAGAGCGGTTCGGATGAATCGCAGACGGAGGAGCATGTGGAGCCGGAGGATTGCAGTGGCCTGGATCCGGATCAGGCGGAGATTCGTTGCATAATACGAGCCCAACACCACATCCAGTGCCAGATCACCGAGCTCCTGTGTCGCTATGAGAATCTCAGGACCATGATGCGTCGCCTGAGTCAGCGGTGGAAATGCCTGGAGCGGCAGATTCTGGAGATTCGCGGCCATAACCAGGTGCACCTGGAGTGGACCCAGGAGTCGGCCAACGATCTCAGCAATTGCCAGCACCGACATCGATCTCTGGCCGCTGTAAAACTCACCAAAAAGATGGCCCTGCTCGTCACCAAGACGAATATGTCCAGTGGCTTTCGCTATAGTCGTCGTTACGTTCGACGAGCTTTGCTCAGTCGACATATCAACGACTTTCACTACGAAATCGAGGAGCTAAAGCTCTTGAGTGAGGATATATGCTGCAAAATTGATCAGCGTCTGGAAAAAATCAAGATAAAAGCCAACAAAATGGGACTCCTGAACTCACCATCGCCGCGCAGGTCCAGTGTGGTTACCGAGGTAAACGAGGTATTCAGCGTCCAAAGAAACACCAATCCAAAAGTTATGGTAAAATAATAAGATACCTTGAGAGGAATGATTAGGGACTGCTATATAATTACCATAGTCACCGAGGTGAAGAAGGCGGAATTCACGAAATAACACGAGGAAGTTTCAATTGGAGAAGATGCGATGAAATAAATGTGATACAATTAAGCCACGTATCAAAAAGCAAAACCTATGGACTTAAATAAGAGGACTATTTAAATTCAAATGAAGTTCCGATTGGAGTCGAAATAAAAAGAATAAATACGGATTTAAACTATTTTATGGATCAGTATTAAGTAGATCAGACCAATATTAAACAGCAAAAGATCTAGAAAATTAATGACTCAAAGGAAAAAAAAAGAATTCTGATTTAACCTAATTTATGGATACGTTTTAAATGGATCAAAGACATATTAAAAAGCAAAAGATACAGAAAATAAATGATAAACCGATATGGGAAGCATTTGAAATGTAAAAACAAAATTATTGAAAATAAAAAAGAACTTAACTTTAAAATATTTTTGTGAAAGCTTTAAATAAACTTTTTTTTTGGTATGCGCATTTGGCTTGAACAAAAAAAAAATTGCTGAAAACTGGAATTATATTATATTCACAAAGTAAAAAAAAAATAACTGTGAATAAATATCCCAACATTGTTCACTTATCATAGCTAAATTAGTACTATTATATGTTTAGTTAAAATATAAAAAATGCAACTCGTAGCTCAAAAAAAAGTTGGAAAATTCATAATTTATTTGCCAGTGTGGAAAGGTCCATTAAATCAGCTAAGCCGAACTTGACTTTTGACCTCTGTTGGAAACAGCGCTCCTGTGCTGAAATAAAAAGCAGCAATTGTGGGAGGGAGAAGGCTGGCAGAGTGGGAAAGAGAAATAAAAGAAAAGAAAAGCAAAATAAGCCACCAGCAAGCACATGGGTAGTACATCATTTCGGACTTTATCAGCAAAACAGGCAGCCGAGCAGCGCGCGCGTGGGCAGCTCCAGAGTGGAATTCCGATGCCGCCAACGCTTCCCCGGCAGCAACATCAGTCGCCGTCACTGCAGCAGCAACAGCAACAACAGCAGCAGCAGCAGCAACAGCAATAGCAATAGCAGCAACATCAGACGCAACAGCAACAACATAAGCAACTCTAGAAGCAACAACTGCAATTGCAACTTAATTGAGGCTTGTCTATGCAGTCTTAGCCAAAAGTAACTGCGGTTGCTCTTCGGTCTGACTTGCTGCTGGTGTGTGTGTGTGTGTATGTTAGCCATCTCATGTCGCCCATTGCGAACTTGATGCCTCGCTGCCCCAGTGCCTTGATGCTCCACAGACGACCAGACAGCAGCGGCAACAACGGCAATGGTAACAAACGCAACAGCAACAGCAACATCACTCCCAGCAGCAGAAACATCAGCCTCATATAAACATATATATACATATATACATATATACCCATATAATAACGTACTGAGGGCGTTGAGGCAGCAACATGGGGAATAGGGTGGGGGCCTGATGGGTTGCAGAATCAGTCAGCGAAGCCATCATCATGGCCACCACCAAATCCAAACGAAAACCACCTCACCTCCAGCTATTGCACAGTGGGAAATCTTATTAAACTACTACTATACTATTGTACATTGCTAAAAAGTTAGACCATTTCACTGGCATACAAATTATTAAGAACAAAAATTTATTTTAAAAGAACGAATGCTGAATTTAAAATGCGGATTTATTAACATTTTATAAAGGTAAGCGATAAAAATGATTTAGTCAAATCCAAATAACCTTTTTCAAAGTTTTGTATTTGTGAGGCGAATGCAAAGAAAAATATTTTAAATACTGTTATTTTCAACTATATATTGTAGGAAAGAGTTCAGTTGAAAAAGTTTTTTTTTTTGTCTAAAAAATACACTTTGTAGCCCACGGTTTCTTAGACAATTTAAGCTCATTCACTTGCCGCTGATTGCTGCTGGCAGTTGTTGCTGCTGTTGTTGCTGCCGATGGTGGCTGCCTCTCCTGGTTTTTGGCTTGTTGTCTAGCAAATTCACAAGTTCAAGACCAAGAGCAAGGCAAAGTTGCAGGGTCTGGTTGCATGTTGCTGATGTTGTTGCTGTTGCTGTTGTGGTTGTGCCGGCAATACATGCAACCAAATTGCATGCAATGCACAATGCACTTATCTAAGATGTGGCAAAGGCAGTGGGTGATGTCTGAGCTGGAGAGGATTGGGAATGGGGGGGGATTCGGGAACTGAAGAGGAATGGAAAATGAGGGGGCGGAATGAAGCGTGGCAATTGCCAATGCAATTTGCATTTTGCATTTCGCACCGGGCGTTGTCAAATGGCCATCCTCGGCAAATGGGGAATGGCTTTTTAATGGCCACAATGTGGGTTAAGTCCAGCTCTTGGACAGCTCTAATAGAACCGAACCGAGGGTAGACAATAATCCATTGAATTGAACACATCACAAGCAGCAACAGCAGTCGGAGAACCGAAACCGAAACAACACGAAACTTCTCAAAGGCCGCCAGGCTTTGAGGGTGGGCAGCAAAACCTCATTTGCCAGCCAGAACTTTATGGCCCGACCAAAACTGCCAACTTGCATGTCAATAGAACATCACTCTTTTGGTATGGGAACTGAACAAAAAAGTTATCAAGACGGCATAGTCCCAAAGTCCAAGTTTTTGTGTTGCATTCTACAAACTTAATTTCACATACTTCGAACTTAATTATCTTTAAATAGGGATATACATACTTATTTACATATTTTGTATTGCATTGTTAAACAGTTTCAACTGCCAAAAATATAATTTATCATCTAAATAGCTTAATAAAAACTTTCTATAATTTAAATTTATGGTGATTTAAGAGCTTCTGAATACAGAACATTGAACCAAAAATATGGCAATATTATGCTATTATATTTAACTCATCGTAAGAAACTTGATCTCGAAAAAATTATTGTTAACACAATTATTATCACTTTAAAGTAAAATATTTTTTAATCATTTTTAAATGTTCGAAATAGTTCGATTTTCTGTTTCTTCTTGCTGTAGGAGCCTTCACTGTATGTCTTTGTACCCAAGGACCTAAGTTGGCAATCTGGAAATTCCCTTTCGATGAGGCGGCATTCCTGGCTGAATTTGTTTTTGGCTCTCCTATGATTTATTATGGTTACATCTAATTAAAACGGTTCTGCAGTGCGATGATGGCCAAGGCAGCAAACATGGCCCGACGTAATGAAGCTAAATGTTCCGCACTACGGTCAATTGGTTGACCATAAGACAAGGCGAAGCGATGAGAGGCCGAGAAATGTTGAGACCAAAACTCCGACTTAGACTTTTAGCTAAGACTTCAGCAAAAGTTTTTCCACAGAAAAAAAAAAATATTGCTTTAGACCATACATTCATAAAATCCAAAATAATCAACTTTTTAATATCCTCGATCTCGATAAATCGCAAATGTAGCTTGTAAACTATGGGTTTAATTTAAAATGATATATATATATTTTTTAAATTTGACGCTGTTTAGTATTTTAAAAATAACCATTTACTTATTACGCATTTATTGACATATATTATTAAATAAAAAGGTTAACTTTTTAAAAAATTAAAAAAAAATGTATAACTTTTTTAATGTGCTGCTTGGTTTGTCCATAGCCTCGTTTTGTTTTTCGCTGCTGCTATGTATGTATGATGATGGAGAAGAAGTCAATTAAGCCAAACGCTAAAAGGCCACGAAAGATAAATGACAAATGACGTGTCTTAAACTGTGCTCGGTATCCATCTTTAACCAAAGAGAACATATCCTAACTCTTTCGTATCCCATCCACTGTGGCCGTCTGTAATTTCCAGCAAAGAAATATCGCACAACAAGTGCAAATGCAATTAGTCGCGAGCTTTATTTGTTTAAACGAATGCCGACTCGCACTGACATACACGATTAGCGTCATATAGTGATCATGATGATCTTGGTTGTGGTCCCGATCCTCGTCTTCCTCTTCCTGGAACTTGTTGCACTCGGTTCAAGCAAGCAGCAAGCAGCCAGCATCATGTTGCAACTGCAACTCCTCATCGTCGTTCCAACATTTAGACATTTATAATTGCTCCAATGATTTTCGCTGTATTTGGCCTGCTCAGCCCATTAAGATGGTTTAAATGCTCTGCCATCTGTGCTGGTGCTGGGAAATTTCAAAATCCCATCGAAATAGGATCACAATTCAAACGAGAACGCAAGCAGCTTACTTAGGCAAGGTGAAGTTTAGACTTGACGACAGCATTCACTGCGCACATATTAGATAAAAACATTATATTCGAGGAAAACAGCAAATTAAACAAATTTGACAGACAGCCAGTCAGAGGAACAGACGGACGCCTAGTGATGCTGATCAAAAATTGTTTTGGAATTGTCTCCTTCACTGTCTTTCTGAATAAAGGGAAAATCCTCTGCAAGGGCTTAAATCGGCCTCATACATTTTTTGTATGGCCCAAATCCCAAATAAAAAATCAGCTGGAATAGCGTTTTTTAAAACAAAACCGTGGGAAATATCATACATCGTTGAATTTAAAAAATTGAATTTATAAAATTTCCAATAAAGTTGCATTCACAGCTAAATAATTTTGTTTTAGTCTAATATTCGCAAAAATTCAACCACTTATGAAAAGGCAAAAATCTCTCAATAAATTAATTTTTCAAATCAACCTGAAATCGATAGTTTAGGTCCTCAGCTGCACAAAACAGTCATTCCTTATGCTCTGTGTCCTATTTTGGCCAAGTTAGAGCAAAAATCCGTTACTTATGTATATACAAACCATCTTGCTGAGGAGCAAGCTCGCTTGCGGTCAAAACGCATTTTATATTCACAAAAAAACCTAACTCAATATGTTCATAACACCTTTTGCTTAGTCAGCATTAATTAGTTTTAAACAATTTATAATTATGTAATTGGGATTTTTTATTGGAGATTTTATCCATTTGACACAAAGCCTGTATTTCTGAGCCCCTAAATCCTCTAACTAGAATCAATTTTTGAAATGTTATAACTCCTGGTTTATCTTCCTAGTAATCTGCATTTTGCATTTAGACAGTTTTTTTAAGCATTTCCATATTAGTATTTAGTTATGAAAAAGAAACATTGCACACCTAACCCCTATAATATTTTAAAAGAAGACGTATCATTTTGCGATTGATTTTAAGCATTGTGTAGCATGATTTTGCGCTGCTGATCGTTTTTGCTGCTTTTGTAGCATGCTTTTGGGCAGGAGTCACAAAAGTTTGTGAAGCATTTGACTTCGATTTAAATGGTTAAAACGTAAGGAAAACATGGCCAGAACTGGACTTCAAATCCCAATTACTTTTTTCCTGATCCCGATCATTATTCCTCTTTCCATTTGAATTTTTATCAAATATAAATCAAATTTTCAGTTCATTGTTTGTTTGTTCATGTTCTCAATATAAATTTATTGATCTTGTGTAGATGCACATTAAAAAAAATAAAATAA